TGCAACGCATATGGGCTTTTTGATTTTATCCTTATAAAACTTGATTCGATCCAATAAGGCTCAAGTTTATCCTATCACCAAAATATCTTCTAGGCTTTTAAATTAAGTCTATTGGCCCAAACTCTTTTAACCAAATTAATTACCAATTAATTTGGATCATCCAAACAAATTGGGCTCAATATTTTTAGTAAGCCCATATTAGGAAATAATTTTTCAAATTACCCTTAAACCTAAATTAGGAAACTAATTTCCCTTTTAGGTAACTTACTTTCAAATTTAAAACTCGACTTCCAAATTAGGAAACTGATTTTTAAAATCCAAAGCTTTTCATTTTAGAAAACTTTTCATTTTTGAAAAATTTTTCCAAAACGAGAAACGTTTTATTTTTGAAAATTTTTTCCAGAATAGGAAACTTTCAAAACTAGAAACCCTTTCTAAAATCTTTGCTTCTCTTTTATTATATGAATGCTTAAACTTATATGTGTGACTTAATAGGCCCTTAGATATGTTGACAATGTATGAATAATAAAAGATACCTACTTTATCTCTTGATATATAAATCATGATTGGCATCTAGCAAGGCATCATGACTATCAAATTCTTTAAGAGGATTAATTAATCCATAATTACCTTTCATGAGAATTTTTACCATACAATTCATTCCTCATGTCAATTTATCACAATGTGATCTCAAATTTGATTTTTAGCTTGTTCGATTATGATCACATAAGTTTTTTTCGATTCCTAAATGTATAAGCTCTAGAATAAATCAACTATACTCTATTGGTATACTCCTAATGTGGCCACAAATTCCTTGAGCGAGACATTTATCGAAGTGCAATATGATAACACTTTTAGCATACAAGGAATAATATGTCTTACCGTAGTCATCCACCTATCTCCATTAGATTCCTAGTGCACCTAACGAATCATCCATATGCAAATCTTTACCGAGTCCGTCAAAATGAGTGTCAAAATATATAAATCTTCTAATGAGATAACCATGATAACTTCAAGTCAAATGACCGATTGTACCCATCTCCTATGAGATTGCCATAAACTAAACAAATGGGTTCTCATGAAAAGTCGGATTCGGTGATATATTCTCTAACATTAATCATCTAAGTGCTTGCTTTGGCATCACTATGCCAATAGATGTGAGATCTCATACTATCATCTTATAGCATGAGTATAGCACTCACAAGTCTTATTGCATATAGTCAATATCTATTCTTGACAATGCTACAACTTAGAATATTTAATGATATCATTTAAGTTTATTAATATTTGTCTTAAATTTTTTGATCAATTATTAATGCTATGTATATCATATGGACTTCTATCTAATTCTATCAATAAATATAAATAATAAGAATTAATAAAAAGACTTCTTTTATAATAAAATAAAGAATGCAATATTACAATAAGTTAAACTATCCAATCAAGGTTGGATCTTGAGCACCTACACTAACATTTGATCTCTCTTAATCTTCTTTTCCTCTTAAATCAAAAACCCCCATTTCAATTTTTTTTCAAAATTTAAAAAAAAATGAAAAATGGTCGAACCCTAAGTTTTCAAAAAAAAATTCAATTGGACTTAATTGGCTTGATTTTTCTTGAGATCAAGCCAATTCCAAACCAATTAAGTCTTTTTCCTTCAAAAACTCCTTTTTTTTTTTTTTTTGTTAATTTAGAAACCTAGAAACTCTATGTTTGTTCTAGTCAAATTCGAATCAATTGAGGGTTTAAAATCCTAAATTAAAACTCCAATTAGTTTCAATTAGCCTTAATTTCAGACCGCTAACGTCAATTTCAAAAAATGTAGTAGATAAAAACGGCTCCCGAAGAGTTTACATGAGTCGATTCTTAAGGTTGAAAAGTGATGGGTGGTGGGTTAAGATAGCAAATCTATAAAGCTGAAATGATTTGGATTTGTGAGTTTGTTTTGAATATTGTTTTTGGGTTGATATATTTTTCTTCAAATGTTTCTTTTCTTTTTTTTTTTTTTTTTTGGATGGTGAACTGGTGTCAACTTTGTTTGTGACCATCATGAAGATGATGAAGCTGAAGAAGTAAGATTCTTGATTTTATTTTTTTCATCTCCAATGTAAAAAATTTTGCTAACATTTAACAATTGTTTGGTTTTGGGAAAATGTTTGTGACTGTTATTGCATAATCACGTCTTTGCTTGCCTTTCTTTTTCTTGCAAGCAACAGTGAAAGAATAAGATCTGATTGATTCAGATATTTTTGCTCACATCAGTGGTGTGAACTCCTTCAAATGCAATTATTCCATTTTTTGGTGATCCAGATACGAAAGATGAGTATTTTATGTTGTTGGCTAATCGAGAGCCTCATCTTGGTTTTAATGGTAATGAAACTTTGGTTCTTGATACCTGGTTTAGAAATGCCTGATTGGAAGCGATTACATGGATTCTCAAAGTTAGTGTTTCTTTATTTTTTATTCTTTCTTTCTTTCAAATTGTTATTAACACATGATTATTGCGAATATTAATACTTTTGTTGGAATATTATTGCAGGCAAGAAAAATCTATGATTGGGGAAAGCATGTTTGGGTGACTACTGCCATTATTTCGAAGAAGAGAATTTCTACGCTTATGGACACTAAAGATGGAGATGGAATTGAAGCATGGATAAGCTTGGATGAAAATAACATGCTTCTTTTTGAGTAAGATCCAGACATTATAACATTCATCGTCGGCTAATAAAAACTACTCTATTGTTTAATGAATCTAGGCTCATGATGAGATGCTTTCTTTATTTTGTATTGTTGTTTAATTTCTGCAGTTGTACTAGTGCTTTGCTGTTATTGAATCTTGGATAATTGCTCATGATTAGATACTCTAAATAACTCATTATCGCATTCTTCGAGTCTAATCTTTGTTTTTGTTTGGTTCTCATAATTCTTATTATGTTGATTTTCAACTATTAAAGACAAAAATTTGACATAACAGAAAAGAAACATTAAAATTCAAGAATATTTTTTATTGTTAATTTAAAAACAATGTAGCGGACGGTTTTGAAATAATTAACTAAAAATATTGTAAAAAAAAAATTAATAATGATTTAGCGCTGATTTAAAAAAACCACACTAAATCCGTAGCTAATTTTGATTATAATTAGCACTGGTTTATAAAAACCGTCGTTAATTAAAACAAGTCGTACATTAGGGATGAATTTAAAAGCTGTCGCTAAATTAGTAATCTTTTTCAATTATTTAGCGATGTTTTTTTATGGTATAGTGACGGATAAACCGTCGTTAAATTAGAAATGGATTAGGAAAAACCATTGCTAAATTTTATTTTATTTTATTTTATTTGGTGCTTGATTGGGAAAAGAATAAAATTTATATACTTATATTGTAAATTATTTCGTTAGAAATTGAAGAGGTAGGACATTACAGTTAGGTTAATGTCAACAAATTCCAAGAAAAATGATTGCTGTAATTTTGATTCTTTTTTTTTTTCCCCTCAATATCATAACGAAATTTCAGAACAAGGAACGATACAGTATGACCTAATTTATTCTTTAAAAAAAAAAAATTCACTGATCATAGGAACTAAATATTGGAGTTATTAATCTCCTTATTCGTACAATGCTTATTCCCCAGTTGCTTTGGAGAGGACAAACATATAACTCAGCAACTAAGTTTAGTCTTTAAGCTGATCCAGCAACACAAAGCCATTGACCCACAAAGAAAGCATCACAGTAGAGGTATGGATTGATAGATTCAAAGAATTCAGTGGTCAAGTTGAATGACTGTAACGTCAGAGCACGACTTCCTACTCCAAAGGTTTTGGCCATGAAGGAATCAGCTGCCACTGCTTATGAATTTTTAACATTATTTAAAAAAAAAAAAAAAAAATTAATGTCGACATTTCATGAAAATTGATCAAATGCTTTCGCATACAAGCACAAAACATGAAAAGATAAGACCTAGCTACTTGAACTACGTACGTATAAACAGAAATATGGAATAGAAATTTTGTGGATCCATTGCTAATATAAAAAAATATTATCAAATACTTACATCAAATTAAGAATTCGGCTTTCAGCCATGGAGACAACGAGAAAAAGAGAGCGTCAAAATGGAGCTGAGAAACAAGGCTGATTTGTGGTTTTCTTTCTTTAATTTTTCTCCTTATACTACTCTTCGCTAGTACTGGATTGAGATGTGACTTCCATCCCATGATACCTCATATATATTTATACTACGTACTATTTCCATGCATGGATACTAAAGCTAATTAGTAAGAAGCCAAAAATCTCAACTTTGATTATTAGAAAACTTGTCTTCCTCACCACCATAACACAGCAAATCACTAGAACATGAATTTTAGTTTATGATTATATATGTCAATCTCTAATTATATTCTTACCTCATAATGTTAATGCCTTCGTGCTTAAAAGTCCTTAATTAGCATGAGTTTAATTACTATAAAATCATTCCTTATTTCCATCATTCTTTCTTTCAAATTTTTTTTTTTCCAAAATTAGGTTTTTTTTTCAGGTTTACCCAAAATCTAGTTGGTATCACTTGTAACCTTTTATTTTTGTTTTTCCAAAATATATAACAAAAAGAAAATAATGATTGCCGAAATGATTTTGACTTAAATTTGAATTATTCAAATAAAAGCCAACTTTCCGACCAAAATAAATTTTACTTTTACGAATTTTTTTTTTCAGAGTAAATTTTATCAAGTTACAAAATTCTAAAGTGAATATATATATATTTATTTATATATATAAGGAAAAAGGAAAAAGGAAAATTCTAGCCCAATCTAACAAACTTGAAACTTGAAAACACTACATTTTGGACTAGCTGTAGCCCAAACTAAAAGCCCATCAATACTTAAACAGTGAAACTTTCCCTTCTTTTCTGCTGCTTGCATTACTAGTGCGGTCTTAAAAGTTGAGACCTCCTGGTAGGGTTTGTCATTTCTCTCTCTAAAACTGAGGATTTACCACTCTCTCTAGAAAATGACGAAACTCAGAAAGCTAAATCGACCCACTGGTCATCGTATGTCCATGCTCAGGTTCTTCACTTGCTCTCTCTCTCTCTCTCTTCATTTTTTCTTAAAGCATGCTTCTAATACTGCATTAGTTTAATTAAATCTTTAATTTAGTTTTTTTTTTTTTTTTTTTTTTGCAGAACTTTGGTGTCCCAGTTGATTAAACATGAGAGGATTGAAACCACAGTTGCAAAGGTATTTTTTTTTAACACTCTGTTTATAGGGTTTTTGTAAGGTTTATATACCCATATGGTTTGTTGGCAAGAAAGATTTAATTTTGATTGATATTTTGATGATTTGAGATTGAAAATTTTATGTTTTTTTCATTTTTATTTGATTTATAAGGTATTTGATTGAAACATTCAGTAATGATGTTCAAAATATATGGGTTTAGCTTATTTTGTTGAATTGTGTTAAAAGTTTCTTGCTTTAAGTGGATTTTTGGTAGTGAGTGATGTAAATTTAGGGCGAGGAAAGAAATTGCTTGGTGATGATGGTGAAAGGATTTCTGTTTAAGCTTTTTTTTTTTTTTTTTTAATGTTTTGCAGGCAAAAGAGATTCGTCGTCTTGCTGATAACATGGTACAGCTTGGGAAAGAGGTGTGTGCAACAATTTAGTGATGTAAATCAGCAAGCCTGATGGTTAATATCAGTTGAGCATGCAAAAAGGCTAGTCTTGCTAGTTGTTTGTGTTATTACTCACAATTTGCACTTGTGTCTTGTTTTCATTGCTTGTAATCAAGTTACATGAATATGTAGCTTTTAGATTATAGTGTAAAGAAATTTTTTATAGGAGTCATTTAGTGTAGAAGGGAATTAACTCTATCTTTAAACCTATCTCTTTTGATCACTTGCCCCCATTTATCATTACCTTATTCAGTTTTGTCAAAATTACAGGGTTCACTGTGTGCTTCAAGGCGTGCTGCTGCATTTGTTAGAGGGGATGATGTTATTCACAAGCTATTTTCAGAATTGGCTTACCGTTACAAGTAAACTTTTACTTTTTAGTATTTCCTTATTGGTACATTTTAATAGATGAGTTTATGTCATGTGTTGGTGTTTTAGGGACAGAGCAGGTGGTTACACAAGGATGCTTCGAACCCGCATAAGAGTTGGTGATGCTGCACCAATGGCCTACATTGAGTAAGACCTTTATTGCCAATTCTAAATTGTTTTTATCTCATACAAACTTGTCACTTCTACTTCTACTCTTTATTGCCCAACAGCTGCACTTTCGAATTGGATGAACTATGATGAAAGTGATTGAATCAATCTTTCTTTTTATGAATATCAATTAATCTTTTGTGGTAATGATGCTAACACAAGTGCATGGTACTCTGAAACACAACATTCACATAAGAAATTACAACACCTGGTTTCTGTGTCCACTGAGCTTTATTTATTGTGAAGAATTTGGCGTTGAATAAATGATCTGATTTTTGAAAGTAACATCCTCCATATGAAACCAAGGCGTTATTGAAATGAAAGAAAGTTGTTTTCTAAATGCATACAATTACATGCAGGAAACATAATGTTATTGTCTGTTTCTGGTTTTTGCAAACTTTATTCCCAATAAAAGAGAGATTAGATTTTAAACACAGTCAATCTCATCTTACTCAATTGTCTGACAACTATTGCCTTCATATCTGCATCTCATGCAGAATTCGTTTACTATTGGAATTCCATTACTTGAATTAAAACCCAAAATGCAAAAGTTTATGGAAATATCAAAAGGAAACCTATTCTAGTTCTGGAAGCAAGAACAATGTTCATAGCATGAAAATTTTAGACAACAGCAAGGATAGGATTGTCTTGTTGAAATCCTTAGATTGCTAGGGGGCCTGCTCGCTTTTTCTCTATCCAAAAATCAAAGGGAAATGGGGATTTATTGTTCTGATGTGATGGTTTTATATTTTCTCATGTGGAGAATGTCTTTCTTCTCCTTTATGTAATTCAGCCCATTGCATAAGCAGTAAAATTTTCCTATATCTAAATGAATAAATAAAAATAACAGCCTTAAAGCCTTTTACTAGATTATCTGTGCCCAAAGCTGAAGTTTTGTTGCCTCTACTATGAAATAAATTTGTGAAATGCACTCCAATAGGCGTTTAGTTAAGCAATAATAATTCTTAGTGGACTCATGAATTGCTAATCATGCTGTTACAAGAAACAAAATTTGAAATTTTTAACTGAACTGATCATTAAATTATGCTTGCTAGAAGATCTTGTCTATTGGAGAATTGGTATTTTTGCCACAAAAATGGGGCAAAGGTAGATTTAACCAGCTGGTGTAAAAAACTAGTATGCATGCACAAACCACTCAGGCACACATGCAACCACAGTAGATGCCCATATGCATTCTTGAGAACACTTGTTGCTTGAGAATAAATTAATTTTGAAGCATATTGAAGATGAGTCCTTTCACTTCAAAATCTTTAAGAGGGAGAAAAGGCAGTTGTGTAATCTTTGAGGCAGTGAAGTAATGTTTCCCAAGCCAACATCTGGTGTTTTTAGAACAATTAATTGATGTTGATCTTTTCTCCAGAGTTTGTTGAGGCCTAGTAGTTTATTCCTATATTTTCTTATTTGGACAGGTTCATCGATAGAGAAAATGAGCTTAGACAGTCCAAACCACCAACCCCTCAACCACCACAGAGAGCTCCTTTTGATCCCTGGACAAGATCGCGGCTTACCAGGCAGTTTGCACCCCCTAAAGAAGAAAAGAGCTCTGATCCCGAAATATGATACAAAAATCACTAAGCTGTGCTTGCGACAATGTGTTTCTGCTAATTTGTTAGCATGCGATACCTCTGCCTCATGTCATGCAATTAAAGGTTTTTGATACCTGAATTTTATGAATGTAGCAACATCATGCCTCACTGGTTATATTGCCCCTGTTTTTATGAGAACGTAGATTAAGAAGGTCGAATATGGATCAGAATGATTGTTCTTTTCTTGCAATTGTAAATTTGAGGGCACATCTGCTTTCAGCTCCTAAGGAACATGAATAATGTCATTGTGCAAGAATTAGAGTCAGATACTTCGATTCAGTTGATCTAACTGTTCTAACCTTGTTCGATTTGCTGTTCAATACATGATATGTAGATCTTGCTTGAAGATGGCATGTGTAAGAATGCCTCACAGTTCTTGCTCTGGTATTTTCACCTCACTGTCTTGAGTCTCAGCTAGCAACAGTTTAGAGGCATGCTTAACATGCCAACATTCCCAAGAACAGCTAAATCTGCAACCGCCCCGCGCACCCACCCGAAGAAAATTGAATTAAAAGCAAGCGAAGGTTTTGCACTCCAAGCAAACAGTAAAATGAGGATAAGTAAAATGCTGCACGCGAAGTGCAAAGCATGGCCCATCATTTTTAACTCCTTTATATTAAAGTTACCTAACCTGTGGCAAAAGTTAATTTAATCACCACATTCCAAAAGTTTTGCTTTCTATTGGTGGGCAGCTCTTCCTTTGAAGGTGTCAACAACTTTACAAAAGATTGGCAAGTGTTCCTTCTTTTTGACTTTGCGCATAATTTTTGTTCTCAGCTTTTTCATGGAGATAATTTCAAGTTGACACCTTGCAATATATGGTCTTTGAAATAGGGAACTATTCAAATGTCAATAGACTATTAGGTCATTGGCAATTTCCCAAGATAACTAGTGTCCCAAAACAGAAGGGATAGATTAGGTCTCGTTGTCTTTTCCATAGATTGTCAAAATGGTCCAAAAGCCATACAAAAATCAAGATGAAATAGATAACCAATTTAATGAGAACCGTATTGGTCCAGGGCACACCCATTTCCATGAAATGTATAAAAAGAAGAAAAATAAAATAAAATTCAAGCCTACTTATTGTTAGGTTGCTTTACTTACAATACAATATACGTACACATACAGAGACAGTCCCCCTTCGAACACTAATCCATTCGAATTTTGGTATATAGTGTAAAAATACAAATATATCTGCCAAAACTATAAAGATGATGCATAGACGGGATGGAGTAACAGAGAGATACGTAGCGATAGGTGCAAGGATTCCATCCTATAAAGAAGTCCCACCTTCTTGTTCAACAGACAAGTGTGTTGTTTTGGTTGTACAAAGGTGGCAGTTCCTGGTTGGACAAGATCCAGTTCAAACTTTAAAGTTAATATTGCTTGTTATTGTCGTGATTATTGTATAATCATGCCTTATTAGGCTTTTTTGCAACATTCCATTGTCACTTAGAAAATGGGTTTATTTAGTAGTAGATCTTTTGCTTGGATATAAAGGATAGAAAATAAGTTTTAAAAAGGTTTTTGGTGAAGCCAAAGCCATTTATGTCACATTAATTGTGTGACAAATGAACTTTTTTCCATATTTTTTTCAAGAGTTTCGAACTAACTAAAAACTCTAGATTTATGCACCATGTAAATGTCATTCAACCACTTGAATTAAATATTTTGTTCTCTTTTTGATAATATTATTTGGCAATGTATTATGTTTCTCTTAACCTTCTTATTAATTATGGCTTTGAGTACTAGTCTTTGAACAGTTTTGGTGAGATAGTTTTTGAAAGCTCTCCTAAACCGAAATTAAGATTTAGAAAATTAATTTATGTAGTCAGATCTATATATGAAAGTGACTTTGGTTATACAGTGAATGGGAGATGGATAGAGGGATGTAGGAAATTAGATTAACAGTCCATTTTTCTTCTGTTAATGAATGTTTTATCACAATAACTAAAAAAAAAAAAAAACATCATTGATGATCCCCATTGTGGTGAGTGAGATGGGACGTGTTTAATTATTTACTTTTGGGGATTAAGCTCCATATTTAGGACTTGTTTTTTGAAATGAAAAATGAGATGGGACATTTGATCACCTTCATTCTGAATCAAATCCATATACATATCTATCATTAACCAAACCATATTTGCTTTCATTAACCTAATCTAGCAACTAATTCCAAATTAAACGATGAAAACGTTTTTTTTTTTTTTTTTTTCAGTTTTTGGCGAAACACTAATCAGAAATTTAATTCGTTCCTGAAATAATTCCATGTTTATGGTTTTTGTATCAGGAACAGACATATTACACATATTGCATAAAACTAATTAAATTCAATTTTAACCTTTTGAAGAGGTTTCTTGGACCCTACCATTTTAATTCTATTTAGTAGACTAGTATAAAACTTTTTCTTATAGAAGTAAAAGATAAGTAAAACATACATATTCAATTAGTTTAATTGAGAGAAAATTAACACATGTACTTTTTAAGAGTTCTATTAAATAATTTAATATATATAGCATAGGCATTATAATATTATGACTAAATATATAATTTTTACTATAATCAATTAGTTTAATTTTTTGGAGTTCGATGCAAAATATTTCTTCTTCTGTTTCTTTTTCTTTTATAATAAAGAATCTTACAGGTTTTGAGTATTTGGGGGAAAAAATTTGAGAAAGGAATGAGAAATTATAAAAAATAGTAATAATAAATTTGGTGACAATAAAAAATTGAAAATGAAAACTTAAGCGAACCTGTCAAATATTGAAGAAAGGAAAATTCAAATGGACGTTAACTCTTCGTCTATATTGACTATATACTTCGCCTACCTCATATATGCTATCAACCTGCCTTTACTCTCACCATCTTTCTAATTCTAAAAAGGCTAAAAAAAAACAATCATCATAGCCTAAGGTTTGCTTCACCAATCCCCCTCATTAGTATAGAGCTTCATGAAAATGTTCTCTTGATTTTCTTATTTTTTTTAAAAAAAAAAAAAAAATTTAACTCCTAGTTTCCGGCTTGTTATGTGCATGCTAATTGCTTCTTGAAGCTTAATATTGCCTTCGTGATTCTTGCAGGCTTTCTCATTCATTAAGTATCACATGGTGCAACCCTTATCGCCAAGAAATTGGAATCATTAAGTTGAGCAATGGGTGGCATGCCAGGTTCGGTTGAGGCTAGGCATAGATTATCTGCATCTTTGTAAGTTATTGCTTTCTTTGGATTCATGGCATGCTGCTTCATTTAAAATTTCAAATATCTGCTTCTTGTTCTTGTTTGCATTAGTGGACAATGCATTGTTCTTGATTTCCTCCATTGCTTCTATTTGTTGTACTTACATTTGCACTTTGATTTTGGCTACATAATCAATCATATCAGAATAGTAAGATTGATGGATTCTGCTGATTCTACTGTTATAATTGGACAGTGCAATGGAGTTGGTAATTTGTTTGGTTTTGTTCGTATGAACTAGGTCTGCATTAATTAGTACTCTAGCAATCTAGCTCCAGTTTTACATATTCTAAATTCAAGCATTTCAAGCTCAATTCCAAAATCATATTAGAGCAATCATAATACTGCTGGGAGTTTCTTTTCTCACTGATGTGACAAACTGATCGAATGCTGGTATAAAGTGCTTATCTGATGAATCATAGTGGTTGAAGATATTGCTTCCAAACGAATCCATCGACGTATGAAACTTGATATTTTTCTTTCAAAGCAAGTCACTTGAATAGAAATTCCCAGAAGGAAAAGGTGTTGAATAAATGTAGCAACGATTGTTATGCCATAGTAAATGGTAAGACTAGGCCATGTACTGTTTCTTAATTTATGTCACTGAAAAGTAAAAGCAAGAAGGAATATTGATAATGCAATCCTGTCTGATTTTTACAGAGAGTCTCTAACAAGTTGACTGACGCAAGAAAAAAATCTGCCAGAGTAAAATGAGATTGTTCTGTACCTAATGAAGACAACAAGGATGAACTGCTGATAATGAAAAGTTAATTGTACATTCTAGAGATAAAATATACTGTTTCCAACCGCATTTAGAGCAGTTCCATGGATATTCAGATCTTTATTTTCTGTTCCTTAGTACTTTTCATGCAGTTTTTCTGTTTTGCCCGTCCTGTCTTTTTTTTTTTTTTTTCCGATCGTATTGTTTGTTTGCAAATTTCTGCTCAAACAGCGAAGATTTGTACAAAAGAAGATTAACAAGAAGTAAGGTTAAAAGTGTTGAAAAGCCCTTCAACATCCCCATCCAAGATAGAAGTTCTTGTTGCAAGCTTTCACTAATCAAGCTTGTCCTTGTGGTCATTATCGGTGGCAGTATTGTATCTCTGCTATACTCTCCAGATGTTGATCAACTGTCTCACTCAGGTTCAAGGTACATTTCATGCCTTTTCACCTGTTTTTTGACCCTCGGGTTCCAATCACCTATTATGATTGCGGTCCAAACAGCTGCCTTACGCTGTGCAGTTGGTGCTGGGTCTTTTCTACGTTTCTGGTAAAATAGTTTCAATGGTAAAAGAAAAAAGAAATTCTAATTTTTTATGTCTGAACTAGGCATCATCCTCTGAAGAAGAGTGTCCTCGTATGATCCCAAGCACCAATGTGTTGAGGGGATTGAGGGAACATCTATTTCTTAAATTTTCTGACACAGTTGATCTTTGAAAACCTTCTCTGATGATATCTATTGTTCCAACATAGTTGGCCAAATATGCACATGCCCCAATTGCAAGAAGAAATGTCATTTCGAAATATGTTTATTTATGAAAACAACCTGAATCAGATCTAAAAGAAGTTTAAATTTTTTTTGTTTAATGCAGACAAAATTTTGTGAACAGATGGATTTGGGGAGGAACAGATCCTAGATATGTATCAGATTTAGATGTGAACTGGGATGATGTGATGAAAGTCATTGAGAAGCTGGCTGAACAGAATGACTATCAGGGAATTGGTCTTCTAAACTTCAAT